TTTCTCATTAACCAGCAGCTCTGTAATGAGGAGAACCGCGGGGAACCAGAGCCTCTCCAGATCAAACATGAACAGGAGGATTTCTACAGCAGTCAGGAGGGACAGCAGCTTGCACTGAAGGAGGACATTGATACCTTTATGGTGACTGCTGCTTATGAGGAAAGAGCCCACGGTGAACCAGGACCAGACAGGGAGCAGCTCCTCTCTCACAGCTTCCTGATAGCTGAGGGTCAAGATCAGGGAGGAAGCAACTATGTAGATTTAGGATCAGCACATAGTGCAAACAGAAGTCACAGTACCGATGCAGAAGACTCTCCCACGTCAGAGGGTCAGTGTAACACTGACATAGGTAAAAAGTCGGTAACATGCAATGTTTGTGGAAAATTGTTTAAGAATAAATACAAAATACACGAACATCACAGAATCCACACAGGCGAGAAGCCCTATCTTTGTGAAACGTGTGGGAAAAGTTTTACTCAAGGTGGTAGTCTGTTGGTTCACATGAGGACCCACTCGGGTGAGAAACCGTATACCTGTAACACCTGTGGTGAAAGATTTTGTTACTTATTAGCACTTAAAAAGCACAAGGCGGTGCACACAGGTGAAAATCCATTTTTTTGCACAACGTGCGGGAAAACGTTCACTCAAAGGGGCAGTTTGTTGGTCCACATGAGGATCCACTCAGGAGAGAAGCCGTATTCTTGCAAAACATGTGGGAAAAGTTTCACTAAAAAATGTACTTTATTGGTGCACGTGAGAATTCACACCGGTGAGAAGCCATACACTTGCAAAGTATGTGGGAAAAGTTTTACCCAAAGAGGTGGTTTGGTAGTCCACATGAAAACTCACGCAGGGAAAAAGTTTTAGTTCTGAATATTTAGCAGGGAACAGTGTATTTATGAAGCCGAGCTTGACAAAGGTATCGAACCCGTTAACAGTAAAGCTTTCACAATCAGAGCTGGCTTTACACACTTCCTGCTGCTCAATAAAAGGTCTTTAAAAGTCTGAAATTAAGGTCATGACTGATCTCAAAAGCTCATATATGTTCCATAAATGTGATGAAATAATGAAATCTGGCAAACAAAAAAAACATCACAATTTAAACGTCAGTTTTTCTGCGTGTTCTCGGCTCTCACCGGTGATGATGCAGATTTATGTATATTAAGATGTAGTGATGTGAACCGGCGCTAACCTAATAGCTTACTTGTAGTCTTCTGATATTCTTCTATTCAACAGCAGCCTGTAGACGATAGCACTTAGTATGAACACTGTAGATGCTCACGCCTGTTTCAGAAATGGGAAAATAGGAGGCGGGAAGTAGAGTCCCATATCCATACTGGCACTT